TGTTAGTTTTCTTAAGTCCAGTCTCATTAAGATTGACTGTTTGTATTGTACTACGTATATAAATGAAATACTTCTTCTCTTTGTCGCAAATTGATTACTGCTCTTGATGTTAAGACTCGCCTGAGAGCCATGTTTGGTTTTCCTATATTTGTTGCATAAAAGAAATATGTCGTTCTATTTTAGATGTTATGGTTTGCTCTTTGAAATTTTATAACAGTTGTTCTTTTCGAGCATTTCTTTTGGTGATCTTCAAATACAATCACACTTTCAATTTCTTTTGAGTATGTAAAAGTTTTTTTAACCTATCATGGTTCCCTAATGTATGGGACAACACTGGGTAGGTTGTTGTTTCTGTTATCATTTCCTCATTTCTTCCTAATATAGATGGGGATAGTCGATGCAATTGTAGACCTTGTGAGCAGAGGAACAACTTTGGGAGAGAACAATCTGAAAGAGATTGCAGGTGGAGTCATCTTGCAAATTCAGGTAATTTTTAAGCCTCCAATGCTAATGGGTTTTTGTGTTCTACTAGTGTCTATGTGGAGTGTTTATTACTCAAAAAGTTATTGAGTGAGACTAAATTTACTAGGGAAGAGAAAAGGTTTTGGAAAATATATATACACTATTGATAATATTTCATGTGTGTGAAGGTTAGAAATGGATATTCATAGGCCATCACGTTTGGGTAACAAATGTTCCTGACTATCGTTTGTTAAACCCTTTAAGTATACATAATACTCCCTCTGTCCACCATAGATCTTCCCAGACACTATTGACAGGGTCCAACTTTACTCACTTTGTTTGCTCAATTTTACTAGTCATTTCATAAAATAATATAGTCTTGTCACCGCTAGTTTTGTAGAACTTTTCATGTAGTTTATTACTATATAAATTTTATTTTAAACTTTTACTCCTATAATCAATTAAATTGAATTGAAAATAAAGTCGGTCAAGCTTCGTAACGCCTAATGGGAAGATCATACATGGACGGAGGGAGTACATTATATAGTGTAATGGCCCTTTGACCTCATTAGTTTCCAAAGATTATTGCCCCCATTATAAGACACTAGAACAGTCGTCATAAAATATTAATAGTGTCATTTTGTTTGAGGAAAGAATGCTGTCAAAGGGACATTGCACTGTATTACAGTCCATAAACTGTTAGCTACTCAATTCCCAACTAACTTAGGCATGCCCTGTTCATATAAATCAATGTATGGGCCCACAGTAAGTCCAGTATTTTGCAAATGAAATGGCCAAGTAACTCCTTTAACTCTTAATACTAAGACATATGTAAAATAGTAAAGTAAAATGTATATAATATAATATATATGTATATATATTGTACACGCCACTTACATATATAATATAATATATATGTATATGGGTTACTTTAGTGCGTGTATACATATATATGTAAGTAATATGCTTTAGCCATGTACATGTATATATATGTTACATTATATATTATATTATGTACATTTTATTTTGGAGTGTCATTTTAATTATGAAAATAATTATTTTGACAAAAACTATTTTAAAGTATATTTATATACTTGTTTTAAAATGTTTTGGGTATTTTATTTTATGTCATAAAATTATTGATGTCAAATAAAATACACTTTGGTAGAATTTTAAAACACATTATTAATGAAATGTATGTACATGTACGTGTGAAGTACATGACATAATGTCTCTTGAAGTGTTTTGATTGCATGGCTATGAATGGAAATAGCTTTTTGATTTTGGAGTTTAGCCTATGTCCATGTTTTCTCCACCATTTAAAAGTCTTTCTTTTTTTTGGGTTGAGATGGCCGAAAGTTTTGAAGGAGAGGAGAGAAATATTTGAGTTCCCAATTACTAATATTTTAATGTAGAAAATACTATAATATTTTCTTTAAAATATTATTGATACATTTTCTACTATTTAATATACAAGATTAATATTATCCCTCTTAAATCTTTATATTAAAATATACTATTATAATCTTTACTAGCATAAAGATTATAGTAGACTCCGGAGATTGTTCGTATGTCAAAGTTGGAGGCCGGATGTTTGAACGGCTACGTTTGCTTCTTCAACATCTTTTGCTCGACTTTTCGTTCATACCGCTTTACCGGAGAAGGTATAAGTTTCTATCTCTAGCTATAGTTTTATTACGTGTTCCTAGGCTAGTAATCACTATTGGGAGATTAAATTTTTGTTTTTCCGTTGCCCTCCCTACCGTGGTTACCTTTCAGTGGTATCGGAGTTTCGTAGAACTTTTTCGGTTGAAAATTATTTTTTAACTTGGTAATTATTTGTTATTTTCGAAAATTAGTAAAAATGATTTATTTTAGTCTTGGAATAAATATTGGACATAAATAAATCATTAACAATTATTTATTTGTGCCGAAAATATGTATTTTATACATATATTCGGAAATTTCGAATATATATTAATATATATATTTCAAAATTGTTAATATAATTTTATTGAACATAAAATTTCATTTTATGGTTAGTAAAATTATATTGTAATTTTCGAAATTGTTTATTTCCAATTTTTGAGTTAATTGTATTTGTTTAGATTTAATTCTAATAAATCTTAAATAAATATTGGAAACTCAAAAATGAACTTTATAAAACTTGGAAATATTTTTTCTAGGTGAAATAAAGTTGTTGATAAATATATTGGACGAAATAATAATAGTTAGTATTTAATTATATATATATTTCGGTATATATATATTACCTAGTAATATATATATATATATATATATATATATACATATATATATATATATACATATATATATATATATACATATATATATATATATATATATATATATATATATATATATATATATATATATTGAAAATGGTTAATATCATTTTGGAAAATTATATCTCAATAAAGAGTAAGTTGATTTTTCTAAATATTAAATTTTATAATTTAATGATTTTGAAAAATGGTTTAAAATTATTTTTGCAATTATTGAGATATAATTAATATATTTGGGAAATAAATATTTATAAGTTCTGGAAATTTATTTTTCCGATTTATAATTGTATAAAATAGTTACTGGAAGTTGGAAATTAATTTTCATGTTTTTTGCAAATTTATTTCAAATTTAAAATGAATTTTGGAATAAACTTTGCACTAGGGGCATTTTCGTAATTCTGTGTTTCCTAGAAATTTATTTTCCTGATTTGCCCCTGCCCGAAAGTCTCTTAATATATTTAGGATGACTTTGTAAAATTTCATAATTTTTGGACCAATTTATGAATTTTTATGAATTTTAGAAAATATTACCAACGTAGTATTTTTCTAGAATGTTCGGGGGCGAGCGCGGTTCGCCCGGTGTATGTATATCTCTATTGCCTGTGTGGATGTATGATATGCATGGTGGATGATTGTGGCTTTAGTTATTCATCATTGATGTAATTTAAATACGGCCTGCGTGCCGTGCCTTATCTCAAAGCTCTCGTTGTAAATCTATTTCTCTCTCTCACCTCAACCGAGGATTCTTTTCTCACGTGGTGGTTAGAAGATAAAAGGATTTGAAGTCCGCTCGAGGGAATCTAAAGGAATGGAGATAGCCCGAAGTCCAAATGCCTCAGTGGGAGCTGTCGTTTTATTTTTCCTTTAGGGGCCACAATCATTACACGTTTATTTACAGCGTATTTTGAATGCATGTGAATGTATGTTTTACGCTAGTAAATTGACACGTGCGCGACATGTGTCGTAGGTGAGATCGTAATTAATATAAAATCCCTCAAAATATTAAGTCTGTATTGCCTTCCGGTGCCCGGTACCTTTCCGGCTAATGTGCACTGTCACGTACTCAGCCCTAGCAGAGCGTAGTACGTTGTATGTTATGCTGATCACGGGAATCACTTAAGTGTTCATTGTCAGACTTAATTGAGTCTCGGTCAAATGGATGGATGACTCTGAGGTTGTTTTTGTTGGGGTCACTATACTGACAAGTCGAATTACTTTACTCACTCATCCAGCTAGAAGTTGGGTAATTATGACTTAATTGGGCTTTGCCTTAACTAAAGACTTAATTGGGCTTTGCCTTAACTTAAGTGGTACGTGCCAAAGCCAATGACATGTATAATGAAACGGTGTTCTGGTCCGTAAGTAATATTGTCGTTTGCCCAACACAAGACCAAGAACTGTGAGCGCGGCTCGATAGTTGGAACTATGTTCCTACCTAAATAGTTAAATTCTAGGTACGAACCTCAGGTCAACTACAATTTAATGATATATGGATCTTGGCCCATTAAGAGAATCTCTATGAGAATCTCCGAATCAACATTGAGGGTTGTTGGTTTGTTAAAATAGTGGGAAATAATTAATTAAAGCCCTAATTAATTATTCAACATGATAGATAACCTAGTTTGCAATTTCATTCTGTAGATGGCATCGAATAACACATACAGTCAATCCATCAACCAGCGGTATATTCGCGAGAGCCAAAAACTCTCTGGGGAAAACTTTCTTAACTGGGAGAAGAACCTACGAATCGTTGTTGACTGTGAGAGGAAACTTTACATCCTCGAAACGGATCCTCCCAAGACCCCTAAGGCAAATGCTCATGCGTTCGAACTCACTTCCTTCAAGAAGTATGAGGACGACGCGCGAGATGTTAAGTGTATCATTATGGCAAGTATGACCGCGGAGCTCCAAAGGCTCCACGCGGACATGGAAGCGCGTCTTATGATACAATGCTTAAGAGACCTATTACAGGGTCACCCCAAAAACTCGGGTATTTACGTTATTGAAGTCAACATGCCTGATATCACCTCTTGGGTGATGGATACCGGATGTGGTTCTCACATCTGTACTTCTATGCAGAATTTGCATGAAGTTAGACATTTGACTGAGGGAGAAGTCCAGCTTAAGGTCAGAAACGGAGCACTTGTCAATGCGCTGGCTGTAGGAACTTATGTTCTATCTTAGACTTAGATGCCACTGTTTATAACGTAGATGTTAAGAGAAGCAAACCAAACAGTTTGAATCTCAAATACCTTTGGCATTGTTGTTTGGGCCACATTAACGAGAAACGCATATCTAAGTTACGTCACTCTGGCGTACTTGATTCATTTGACCTCGAGTCTTATGATGTATGCCAATCTTGTTTACTCCGTAAAATGACAAAGGCTCCATTCACCGGTCACGGTGAAAGGGCGAGTGAAGTATTAGGCCTCATACACTCTGATGTATGTGGCCCAATCAACACTGAAGCTAGAGGTGGTTTCTCATACTTAGTAACATTTACTGATAACCTCAGTCGGTATGGATATGTGTATCTCATGAAACACAAATCAGAATGCTTTGACAAATTCAAAGAATTCAGAAACGAAGTAGAAACACAATTAGGAAAAAGTATCAAGACCATCCGCTCGGATCGAGGAGGTGAGTACTTAAGCCTAGAGTTTGACGACTATCTAAAAGAGCACAGGATCTTATCCCCTCCTCCCGGTACACCCCAAATTAAATGGAGTGTCTGAAAGGAGAAATAGAACGCTGCTCGATATGGTTCGGAGTATGATGAGTCTGACAACATTACCAGAGTCCTTTTGGGGAAAAGCACTATTAACAGTCGCACACACACTCAATTGCGTACCATCTAAGGCTTTTGAGAGCACACCATACGAGCTATGGCGTGGGACAAAACCAAATTTGTCGTACTTGAGGATTTGGGGTTGTTATGTTTATCTTAGACGCCTCATGACGTCTGGTAAGTTGGATTCCAAATCTGACAGGTGTAAATTTGTGGGATACCGTAAGGAAACGAAAGGGTATGAGTTCTATCATCTGGCCGATAACAAAATCTTTTATTGCTCGGAACGGAACCTTCCTTGAGAAGGAGTTGCTATTTCTAGTGGGAGAAAGGTAGACCTAGAAGAAATTCGAGAACCACAAGAAGAGATCTCAATAGCAGTGGAACCCGAGCGTCAAGATTTAGTATCTCGACCGGCTCAGGTTTTACCACGTAGGTCAGATCGGATGCGTAATCCTCTGGTTAGATACGGTTTCCTTGTATCTGATGAAGGTGACGTCTTGCTGGTAGACCAAGGTGAACCTGAGACCTGCCTTGAGGCAATCACGTGCCCCGAATCCGAACAATGGCTTAATGCCATGAAATCCGAAATGGAGTCTATGTTCACAAACCAAGTCTGGACCTTGGTTGATGCGCCCGAAGGGATAAAACCCATAGGGTGCAAGTGGATTTTCAAAAAGAAAACAGACGTAGACGGGAAGGTTCATACCTTCAAAGCTAGATTGGTAGCAAAAGGTTATAAACAAATCCACGGAATTGACTATGAAGAAATCTTTTCTCCAGATGTGATGCTAAAGTCCATTCGGATAATGCTTGCGATTGCAGCGTTCTACGATTACGAGATTTGGCAGATGGACGTCAAGACAGCTTTCCTTAACAAGAACCTCAAAGAGGATATCTATATGACACAGCCTGACGGTTTTAAAATTGCTAGTGAATCTGCTAAAGTCTGTAAGCTGCGACGGTCAATTTACGGATTGAAACAAGTCTTGGTTGAGCAAGAACTTCGTCATGAAGGATTTGGGGAATGCTAGTTATGCCCTTGGCATAAGAATCTACCGTGATAGGTCAAGAAAGTTGATAGGTCTATGCACACTGGACAGCAGTCAAGAACATCCTAAAGTATCTTCGGAATACTAACGATGCATTCCTGGTATATGGAGGTGAGGAAGAGCTGAAAGTGGTCGGTTACACTGATGCAAGCTTCCAAACCGATCGAGACGATTACAAGTCACAAGCAGGGTATGTGTTTTGCCTGAATGGCGGAGCTTTTAGTTGGAAGAGTTCTAAACAGGACACAACCGCCGATTCAATTAAAGAGGCTGAGTACATGGCTGCCGCTGAAGCAGCAAAGGAAGGTGTTTGGATAAAGAAGTTCATTTCTGAACTTGGATTGGTTCCTTGCATTAATGACCCAATCTCGTTGTTCTGCGACAACACTGGGGCCATTGCACAGGCTAAGGAACCACGATCTCACCAAAAGACCAAACACATTGTACGACGTTATCACATCATACGAGAAATCGTAGATAGAGGTGATGTGGAGATTTGCAAAGTAGGAACAGACGACAACATAGCCGACCCCCTGACCAATCCCTTGGGAAAGCTAAAGCATGAGGGTCACACTAGGTCAATGGGCATTCGACCAATGCCAGATTGGCCATAGTGCAGGAGGGAGATTGTTGGAGTTGGTGGCCTTATGGCCAACTGCTGTTGTAATATCTTAGATATTTTCTATCATGTAAAGGCAGATGCATTAATTTTACAAACATCTCATGCTAATGTAAACTCTTAATTGCATTCCTAGAATTATATTATAAGATGTTTATCAGAATGAGTCTTCTGATCACTAATTTATTTGCCTTTCTTTTGTATTTGTCCTGGTGAATGGAGTACAACAACAAACTGATTTTTATGATTTCTTTTTGAGTCAATTCGACTTCATGCTCTGTTATTTAGTAGTTACATTATGATTTTTGCAGGCTGTTTGACATCATCTTGGCAGGGGAATGAAGATCTCATTATAGTTCATGATCCTCTAGAATATGGAAACTGTCGATCATCTCAAATTGGGAGTAACAATGAGCTCTTTATAGCAAAACATTCAAATTGTGTCATGTTATGCGCATTCCTATCACCATTAGTACTCTTACAATAATAATGACGTGCGACTGGAAATACATGTGCGTATTTGCACATACCAAGGTATGGAATATCCGAGAATGTGAACTCACTGAAGGATCTAGCAGAAATGCCACATTGGACACCTGAGAGACCCTTGAGAGTAGCTACGGGTTTCACATATGCATGGTGTACTGCAATGTGACATATTCATCTTCTTTTTCCCACATACAGAGTATATATTATTGTGGTCACAATTATTATGTTTAAGTTTGATGATATTTTTCCCTTAACATCCTTCATTTCTTTCACAGATGGGGCCCAAGTTTATGAATGAAAAAGGACTAAATCATGTTACCTTTTCAACTCCAGATGGAGCACTGAAGGCTACTCCAGCGGTAAGACCAAATTTACCTATTTTAAATAGATTCAGTTTTCTCAAGTCCCGTCTTATTGAGATTGACTGTTAGTTTTCTTAAGTCCAGTCTCATTAAGATTGACTGATTGTATTGTACTACGTATATAAATGAATTACTTCTTCTCTTTTTCGCAAATCGATTACTGCTCTTGATGTTAAGACTCGCCTGAGAGCCATGTTTGGTTTTCCTATATTTGTTGCATAAAAGAAATATGTCGTTCTATTTTAGATGTTATGGTTTGCTCTTTGAAATTTTATAACAGTTGTTCTTTTCCAGCATTTCTTTTGGTGATCTTCAAATACAATCGCACTTTCAATTTCTTTTGAGTATGTAAAAGGTTTTTTTAACCTATCATGGTTCCCTAATGTATCAACACTGGGTAGGTTGTTGTTTCTGTTATCATTTCCTCATTTCTTCCTAATATAGATGGGGATAGTCGATGCAATTGTAGACCTTGTGAGCAGTGGAACAACTTTGGGAGAGAACAATCTGAAAGAGATTGCAGGTGGAGTCATCTTGCAAATTCAGGTAATTTTTAAGCCTCTAATGCTAATGGGTTTTTGTGTTCTACTAGTGTCTATGTGGAGTGTTTATTACTCAAAAAGTTATTGATTGAGACTAAATTTACTAGGGAAGAGAAAAGGTTTTGAAAAATATGTATACACTATTGATAATATTTCATGTGTGTGAATGTTAGAAATAGATTTTCATAGGCCATCACGTTTGGGTAACAAATGTTCCTGACTATCGTTTGTTAAACCCTTTAAGTATACATAATACTCCCTCTGTCCACCATAGATTTTCCCAGACACTATTATTATTCACTAGTAATCACTATTGGGAGATTAAATTTTTGTATTTCCGCTGCCCTCCCTACCGTGGTTACGTTTCACTGCACTCAACCTTTTCTGCACACTTCGTATTAAAATTAATAAAACTAATATATCCTTTATTGCAAATACTTTTGCACTCATTCAATGATTGATGGTCTTTTTTTGAGATTGTGTAGGAAATTACTATCAAAGACGCAGTTTGAAGAACTCTGGTAGGAAGTTTTGAGAACAGAATAAGGTGTGTTCACTTTCATTTTTGAAAATATAATATATACTCCCTCCGTCCTTGAGTGTGTGTTCACTTTCATTTTTGCACACATCCAATGCACTTCTTTAATTCATTTTATCTTGTAATTTGTATATTAAAAAATTATAAAAATTATATATTAATAATCTATATGTTAAGATGAATCAAACAAGATCACACATGACTATTTTTAGGCTTATACATTGAGAGAATTTGATGAGTCAAAGTGTTTAGATAAACAGTTCCAACAGTTAAAAGTGGACAAACACTCAGGGACGGACCACGTATTTCTTTTGTTAAGTACCATTATTGCCTTTCTAACTTTTCTTACCAGTACTTTTATAGCACGCATGTAGAATTTATCTTTGCCTTTCACTATATTATTTTACTAAAAATTATTCAAATACCAAAATTCATGTGTGATTTTTAAGATTAATTTAAATTCGATAAAAAAATATAGTAATTGATAAATTTGAACTAATACTTCTTTGAAAAAGTAATCATCATTTAGAAAAAATGAATAAAAGGAAAGGAATAAAACACTTAAAACTCAAGAATTAAAAATAAGGAAATAAGTTTTTTTTCTTTTGAATCCAAATATAATTTTTTAATTTTTTTGACATTCAAAGTTTTTTATTAATTTATTTAGTACCACGTCACATATTACTTAACAAAAAGAAATAAAAGTTATGACTAAAATGAATAAAAATTATTTTTTCAATTGTTTCCTTTAAACTGTAGTGGGATTCAACTGAGTTGTTGTTGTTGTTGCTGTTGTTTCCTTTAAACTAATTTGAATTTAAAAACAATATAAAGAATCAATTACCGTATTGTTAATCGAAGTGGTAAGTTTAAAATGAAAATAATAAATGTAAGTTTACAATAAAGGTAAGTAGATTAATAATTAATTACCAAATTAAAATAATAAATGTAAGTTTACAATAAATATAAGTCTTTATAATCTCATTTGGGAAGTTCTTAATACATATTATTATTAAAAAAGGAACTCTATTAATACTGAATTATTAACATGAATTTAAATTACTTATCTTTTACTCATTTCCAATCTAAATTAATGACGTTAGTATTATTATTACCAATTTAAATTACTTACTTTTTTATTTATTTCCAATACTTACCTTTTACTTATTTCCAATTTAAATTAATCATGTTAGTATTATTATTACCAATTTAAATTACTTACCTTTTTAATTATTTCCAATTTAAATTAATCACGTTTATTCTTTCTTTATAATCACCACGTTTGGAAACTTTTTAATACTTATTATTAAAAAAGGAACTCTATTAAAACCAAATTATTATTACGAATTTAAATTACTTACCTTTTACCCATTTCCAATTTAAATTAATGACGTTAGTATTATTATTATCAATTCAAATTACTTACCTTTTTACTTATTTCCAATAATTACATTTTACTTATTTCTAATTTAAATTAATCACGTTAGTATTATTATTACCAATTTAAATTACTTACCTTTTTACTTATTTCCAATTTAAATTAATCACGTTATTATAGTTGCAATTGAGATGGCGAAATATTACCATTTTAGGTTGGTAGAATATTATTTCCAATAAATGATAGTTTACAATAAACATAATATAATTGCAATCAATTTTCATAATTAGGTTGGCGGAATATTATTTCTTAAAATGGAACTGTAATTATACCAAATTATTTGCCTAATTATTTATTATTCTTTAACTGTGGAATATTAATTATAATTGACTCATTACCATTTTAATTGACTGATTACCATTTTAAGTAAACAATTACCATATTTTATTACAATACCAAATAGGCAGGAAAACAATCTCACGGATCCATGGCTTTTTAAATAAAGTATGGATGTCCTAGAATTGGAAACAAAATATGAAAAACCATCTACAATTAAAGACCATTTACTGAATTTACTTTTAAGATTATATTTTTACTTCTCTCTTTGTACTATAATATTATTTATCTATTAATATAATAATCATTATCATATTGAATATTGGTGTGTTAGTCAAGAATCTCATTTTTTAAAGGTTCTATAGCTAGTGATGTTAAAAAAGTAAAGTATAGAATAACTAAAATCGTATTAGAAAGGAATTCCTAAATCATCGGGTTTAAATTACTTAAATTACATTAGGCGAGATTTATTAAAATTATCGAGTAAAAATTATGAAAATTACATAACGCAAGAAATTATATATGAATTTATTTTTTTCTAACTTGGTAAACTGTAAAATTAGCTTTAAGTAAGGCAAAAACTTAGGTTTAATCATAATTAAAACTTATATTTTAATTAAACCATCATCGTATATGTAAATTAGCTTTAATTATGGGAAAAGTATAAAATTTTAATACGGGAACTAGGAGATAAAATTCACAATGTATAGTTGTTTTTTACTAAAGTCATAAAATGAGTAATTATGACTAATTAAAATGTAACAACAAAAAGTAATTACCAGTACACACTCTAAGAATTACATGGCATATTGACCTGTCAAAAATGGCCAAATGTGTTGTCCACTTATGGAATTCTCATGAAACAAGTCTCAAATATTATAATAAAAAATTCTAAAAATTTGTTATAAATAAAAACAAAAACATAGAACTTGGAAAGAATACTCAAACATTTCTTACCAAAATTTTAATTTTATATTCTCGACATAAAAAATTATGTGACATTAGGCGTTAAAAAAGGCAACACAAAAATGATTTTCTTTTCTTTTTATTCAATTCATAAATTAGGTTGCATAAAAATGACACAAAAGTAATGATACATGTCAACTATTAGTAATGCCATAAATGCCTCATCCCCCATGTACGTATAAATACCCCGATATATGATGAATAAAGAACTCAGTTCACCACTAGGGATGACAATTCTACCCGACTCTGACTTTTACCGACCCGACCGGAGCTTGTAATATCCGAATCCGAATAGAAAAATCAAATATCCAAAACCGACCCAAAAAAATTTAAACCAAACCCGACTTTTGTTGGGACGGGTTTGGGTTAGTATATTTGACCGACCCGACCTGTACCGACATGACCCGACATGTACCTGACTTTTAATAAGTTATTAAAACCCTAAATTTCTATATTCCATGTATTTTTATGTACATATTTTTAATGTTTTAAAATTAATTGCACTTTTTGCGTTTCATTTTTATTATAGTTTAATCTTTTGTGTCATACTATACATATGTTATTTTCTTTGTAATTTGTATACTATTATTTGAAACTTACTATTTATTTTTTTTAAGGGTCATAATTATTTTTCTTAATATCTTAAATTTATAATTGTCTTTAAAATTTAATTTATAAAGAATTTCAATCTTAAAATGTTCATGAAAACTTGAACCGAATCTTACTATTTATTTTTTTTAAGGGTCATAATTACTATTCAAACCCGAAATTGACCGTAACTGATCCGACCAAATCTTGAACCGAATCCGAAATAGAAAAAAATAAATATCCAAAACCGACACGCCAAAATCAACCCCGAACCCAACCTAAGTCGGGTCAGGTTTCAATACTCAAAATCCGACCGGGTTGGCATCTCTATTCACCACCACGTTATTCCCTAACAAACCCTAAGGGGGCGTTTGGTTAGGGGGTAAGGGAATCGAGAAAGGGAATGAGATTCCCTAATTCCTTTTGTTGTTGTTTGTTTAAAAAAAAAACTCCCTCCGTCCATCTAAGATCTTCCCATTGCGCGTTACGAGACTTAACCGACTTTATTTTCAATTCAATTTAATTGGTTATAGGAGTAAAATTTAAAAATAAAATTTATATAGTAATAAACTACATGAAAAGTTCTACAAAACTAGAGGTGACAAGACTATATTATTTTACGAAATTACTAGTAAAAATAAGCAAACAAAGTAAAGTTTGACCCTGTGAATAGTGTCCGGAAAGATTTATGGTGTGGGAGTATCATTCCTTTTCTCCATTTTAAGGGTTTTGGATTACCCTAATTTAGGTTTTTCCATTGGGATATGCTAGGGGTACACCAAAGGTGTACCCCAAATGTACACCACTCCACCTCTTTACCATTCATTTTATTTTCTTTTTATTTTTCACTTTTTTTGAAATTTTCTTGCCTTTTTTGTGTGGTGATGGAGGGGGTGGGGATGTTTAGGGTACACTTTTGGTGTACCGCTAGCATTTTCCTTTTCCATTCCGTGCTAGGGGTGGACACGGTACGGTTCTGGTACGGTTCCGTTTCCGGAACCGCCGGTTCCGGTACCGCCGGTTCCGGTACCGCCACCCCATGTCACCGGAACCGTCACCGTGCCGGCCGGTACCGGTTCCGGTTCCCGGACCGGCGATTCCGGTACCGGACCGGCCGGTATCGGCCCCCATAATTTTTTTTTTTGCTTTTTTTAAAACTTTTAAATTATGAAATTGTAAATTTGCATTTGTTTAAGGAAAGAATGAAATAAAAAATCTAAAAATGTAGTTGTTATTTAAATATTTTAAAAGAATAATACACTAACTGAAGAACAATCACATTTAATATCCTGACGGTTCAAAAAAAGCGACGAGGTAAAGAACCGTAAAGAAACCCTCGAAAGAGCTTATATATCGCTCACCTAAAAAAACTAATTACATATTTACATTAACATAAAAAAATTATAACTTATTCTTCAGAACTCGGATTTCCATCTGTTGTTGCATTCATGTAATACTCCGATTCGAGTTGGTACGAAGCCTCTTGAGCTCGACGTCTTGCCAAGAGCCAATCTTGGTTGCAAATCAGTGTTTCAAGAGATTCAGCGCTACGACAACTTCGAAAGTCGGTTAGAATGTTGCCGCCAGCACTGAATTCTCGTTCAACTGCTACGGTTGATACCGGAACGGATAACACTTGTCTTGCTAGCATGCCGAGACATGGGGACATGTGTTCGTTCCGCTTCCACCATCCGAGCACGTCAAAATCCACGTCGTCCTCATCGTAATCGCATGGCACACCCTGGTACATGGCAAGTTCGTTGTGCGAGCTTACTGTTGTACCACTTGAACTCGTCGAAGAATGAGCACGCTTCCTTTTCTTTGCAAGAAGACCACCGACTATTCCGGCAAAACCTTTTTTTGATTTCGGGGACAGAGGTGGTGCTGTTTCTTCTTGTACAGTGCCGGACTCTCTCGGAAAAACCTTCATGGACCTTCTACCGAACTCTCTCAACATTTTAATATATATATATATTTTTTGATATAAAAAAATAATATATTAAATTTCGAAACTTTAAAAAAAAATTCGAAATTTTATATATTAAAATTTCGAAAATTTCAAAAAAAAAATAGAGAACATATTTAAAATATAAATTATATATTTTTTGATATTAAAGAAATATTAAATTTTGAAAATTTCAAATAATTTCGAAATTTTTAATATTAAAATATAATATATTTAAAAAAGAATGTATAAAAGAGATAATAAGATATTAAGATTGAGAAATTAAAATTTGGGATTTGAGAGATTTTTAAGAAATAAGAATGATTGAATGAATGAATGAATAATGATAGATTGAGAGATTGAAATTTGAGAGAATGAGAGATGGATTGAGTTGAGTGTGATTTTTTTAGGAGAAAAAATGGGTATTTATAAAAAAAATTAACCTCCCCCCTCCCCTCCCCACCCNTTTGGCCGCCCCCCCCCCCCACTGACTTTTTTTTTGCAGGTATCCGTTGGAGAGCAAAAAGGAGCAAAAAAAAAATTAACCGGTCATACCGGTACCGGCGGTGCCGGTAACGAATTTGGGGCACCGGAACCGAGACCGGATGTGGCGGTACCGGTGCCGGTTCTCGGAACCGTTTCGCCGTTCCGGTAGGCGTTACGGTGCTCGGTACCGGCGGTACCGTTTCCCTGGACGGTACCGAACGGGTACCGTATCCAGCCCTAATCCCTGCTAGATGTCCGAGTTTCCATTCCCATTCCCCAACCCTTCCATTTTCCTCCGCTTTCTTCCTCACCCCTCCACAACCGTTTCTTCCCCAACCATTTCTTCCTCGCCGCTACACACCTGACGCCACACACCTCGCCGCTGCAACTCCAGGTATGTTCTCTTTCACACTGCCGCGATCCACCTTGCAGCTTATCTCCTTCTTTCATCGTGCACCCATTCCCTTTCACTCTTCCAATTCCAAAGCCAATCGGGTCATTTTTCGCTGAATGGACTGTGGCCTCTTGTGTGCACCACCGCCTCCTCATCTCCCCCAAGCCCCGTAGCCCAACCCTAATTTTTTCTGCGCCGATCGGAGATGAAGAAAGAAGATACAGTGGAGCTAATCAGCGCGGGCGGCTATGGTTTCTCAGACCATCCATAACATGCTATGGTTTCTCATGTATATATATATATATATCTTTCTATACATATAATTGTGAAAGCTAGTTAGGTACCCTTTATATTTGTGCACCTTTTCCATCTATAAAAGTTGTACATTGTGCATTGGAGATTGGAGCTGGTACACCTTTAAATATTTCCATTCTTGCCATTACGTCGTTGCTGGCCATAAACGCACAATTTTGCTCCAGAATTGATTCTCCTCTTTCTATATTAATACCCCCTTAAATGCGTACTCATTTAACGCCTTTAATTTACTTTCTTTTTTATAATAACGCATGCACAGTTTCATATGTGTGTATTGGAATTGGAGAGATTTCACCCTATCTCCCCCGGGATTCATTTCAGGTGATTCTGCAAAATTTGCGCTAGCTCCCCCAAATATGCGAAGTCATAAATTTTTCTCCCGTTCAGTATTGTTGCGAGCTGCAATGGATGTGGTTATTATATCAGATGTCTTCCTCCTTGCCGCAGCTCCTTGTCCCAGACTGGCATACTGTGAAGCTGAGATTGCACTAAATTAGCACATAGACTTGCAGGTCTGTGAAATGTTTGAATATCATTTTTATAGCCTTTTCCTGAATTTCATTAAGCTTTTCCATGCTGTAAATCCAGCATACTCACATATTATTAGGGTTTAGCAATCATGCTGCTGTGTTCTTCAGTAGTCATTTTTCCTTTAAATTGATTTTTAAGATATTGTGTTAAAAATTATTGTATTCTGTCCTGGCAGTCAGTATGAGTATAAGTTTAAAAATTAGAGGAATTTATACTTGAAACATTCAACCATTTCTCAAAATTTAAGGCTCCCAACTTTGAAGTAATAACTTATTTATTGAATAAAAAAATTTACCAAGCTTCACGTGGTTAGCACCATAACCTATTTTCTTATCATTTAATGAATTTTTTTTAAAAATAACCCAGCTTTTTAAATCTATAGGAGTTATCTGAGAGGCTGGCTTAATAGCTCTAGGCTCAATCTCTATCACTTAAATTATTAGATTACATATAAAGGGCCAGTTCCCCATTCGTAAAATTGACGGTTTCTACCCCCTAATCCTCCCCCTAGTAAACCCCCCCACCCCCTTCAAAGTCAAAATTAATTTGGGGTTGCAATTGAAAGGGGTAGAGGTGTGTTCGGGTCGGGGCAGGGTGAGAGGGTTTACTGGGTCAGAAGAGGTAGGAATCGACAATTTTATGAACGAGGAACTGGCTGGGTCATTCCATGACTTGATTCCCAATGTCATGGGAACCAACCGAGTTAGGGGGTTAGAGAGTGTAATTTAATATTTCCATCATCACCTTAATCTCAACTTTGTTTTGATTGTGGCTTTAGTGTCATACGAGGAAGTATTGACTATTGTGCATAGGTTTTGTTCATCTTTTATTTTTAAAATGTGCTTTTTATTGTTGTTTTCACACACTTTGGGTTGACGAACTAACTTAGCACATCTCCTTCGAGGTATGTGAAATGTTTGAATACCATTTTTTTGTTCTTCCTGAATTTAAATAAGCTTTATCATGCTATGAATTCAGCATCATGTCGTGTTATTAGGGTTTAACAATCATGTTCTTTAGTAGGCAACTTTTCTTTAAATTAATTTTTAAAAAAATTGATTGTGTTTAAAAGTATTTCATTATGCCATGGAAGTCAATATTAGTATAATTTTAAAAATTATATGAATTTATAGTTCCAATAATCATCTATATGTATGAAATCCACAAGAATAAGGCAATCAATTTCTGTCAGAGTGAATTAGAGGAGCAAACTGCATATTATAGAATTGTTTTTGTATATTCCTACAATCTCAGACAACCATTACCATAGGTAAACCATGGGTTTGGGCGTAGACTACCCTTTTGAAGGAATCGTCTGATTCCCATTTTTCCTTTTCAATTTGAATAGAAAAAAGTCAAGTTGAAATCTGAATATGAAGGTTATGAACATGTATTTCAACAGTCACTTAACATGTTCTCTCATGACATTAAAAAACCCTGGTAATTTCTCTTATCATAATCTTTTCATGAACACTCAATAATGTTGTGTGTTTCTGCTAATACAATTCTACACTTAATTTGTTTTTCACTTATTTCAGCATTTCCCTATTCCAGATGTTCGAAGCTGTACAACAGGTCCTTGGCGTCCCATTTGGATCGTACTTTGAGGTGCGTGCTATGCTTGTTTTTAATCTCTATTTGTGTATTTGCTTAAAATTACATATTCTTTTGAGTTATTGTGGTTTACTAGCATCTAACTTTCATGGTTGTGCTTTGAGAACTGAAAATTCTCAAAATCAAGACAACAAGAATTTACAATTCAAAATGAAATACATTTGGCCAGTCTTTTCCATAGTTGATTCATGAACACATTGGAGTTAAGATTAAGATCTGGATGACCTTGAAGGGGCATACAAATTGTAAGATTGTACAACACACATGTAGATATTGATTGTAGGGTTGGTAGGAGATGAAAGTTTTGAAGTGCAAAGTGAAAGTGCAGCACAAGATATTGTTGTGTGCATAAATTAAAAACAAAGGATGCAATTGTAGACCTTGTGAGCAGTGGAACAACTTTGGGAGAGAACAATCTGAAAGAGATTGCAGTTGGAGTCATCTAGCAAATTCAGGTAATTTTTCAGCCTCTAATGCTAATGGGTTTTTGTGTTCTACTAATGTCAATGTAGAGTGTTTATTACTCAAAAAGTTATTGATTGAGACTAAATTTACTAGGGAAGAGAAAAGGTTTTGAAAAATATGTATACACTATTGATAATATGTCATGTGTGTGAATGTTAGAAATAGATATTCACAGGCCATCACGTTTGGGTAACAAATGTTCCTGACTATCGTTTGCAAAACCCTTTAAGTATACATAATACATTATATAGTGCAATGGCCCTTTGACCTCATTAGTTTCCAAAGATTATTGCCCCCATTATAAAACACTAGAACAGTCGTCATAAAATACTAATAGTGTCATTTTGTTTGAGGAAAGAATGCGGTCAAAGGGACATTGCACTGTATTATGTTATAAAATATTAATAGTATCATTTTAAAACATGTTTTTGGCTCATATTGACGGGCAGGCACATTTTCAAGGGATGTAGAGGTCCAAAATTTGCATAGTCACATATCCTCATTATGACATATTAGCACAACACCTGATGGACGTAAAATATTATGATTAATATTTCTGCACAGGCGGTCCTTGTTGCTAGCAGGAAATCATTGACACGTAAGGATGTGCTAGATATAACACATGAAATGCTTGAAAGGCTGGAGGCTCATTTGCGTGCTTCGGGGAAACTCTGCAGAGGAAGTAGCTGAGCGTGTACTGAGCCGAAATTCCTTATCAGGGTTGCAGGTACGGACTAAGAGTGTTACTAAACACTTTAATAGAGCAGAAAACTATCTTACTACCCTTTGACAGAGGGATAGTAATCACAGTCCATAAACTGTTAGCTACTCAATTCCCAACTAACTTAGGCATGCCCTGTTCATATAAATCAATGTATGGGCCCACAGTAAGTCCAGTATTTTGCAAACAAAATGGCCAAGTAACTCCTTTAACTCTTAATACTAAGACATCTGATTTTTTTGAAACACAAGATAAAAAGAGAGAAAGAGTTTATGAACTAAAATTAAATGAAGAGTTTCAAATGGTATGCTCACTCTTCGAAATTGAACCAGACTCCTTTAACTCTTAATACAAAGACTTCTGAATATTTTAAAACACAAGATAAAAAGAGAGAAGGATTTTATGAATTAAAATTAAATTAATTGTTTCAAATGGTTGAAACAGACCTTCCAAATCAAACGGAAGGTAATGGACTAGATTTTGAGAAGCAATCAGAGTTTGATTGGGAATATGTTTTCAAGATGATGAAACTTATTTAAACAATAAAAAGAATTAGATTTCTAATATTTCTCTGATGATCTTGAAGACAGTTTAAGTGCTTTTGAAACTGTCACAAATAACATTCAAGGTCATCTTCAAAATCAGTGTCAAATTCAAAATTTTTCTAATGAAGTGGAAAATATCAGTTCTAAACCTGAAACTGAAGTTGACATTGAAGCTGAAATTGATGAGTCCAAAAGTGCTTTCAAAAGTTTTGGTTTTGAAGAGGAGAGATCACCCAGTATTCAAAATAAAATACACCAAAAAGAGACAAACAAGATTTGTACTGGTGAATTGAATACCCTAGTGAAAATTGAAAAAGAGGAAGATATACTTCATGACCAGAGAGCTGCTTCAAATGGGTTTAGTATGGCTCATCTTCTTGGAAATATAGAGATTATAGGCAAGCTGCTAGGTGAATCTAGTATTGAAAACAAAATGGCTTTTGAGAAATCTGTTGAGCAAAACATCTTGTTGAAACTCTTTGGAAACATTGAAAAGAACTTCCATAATATTGGAGAAATAAATATTTTAAAAAGGAAGAAGTCTGATAAGTTTGAAGGATCTAGGGCTAAGGGAGAATTGATAAAAGAGCTTGGAGAAGATTGTTGCTTGGGACTTGACCATGAACACTTGTTTATTGTTAAGACATTTTCAAATGATTTTGATTTCAAAAGGACTAAGTTTTCCATCTTTGAAGAATCTGTTGTAACACAAAATTTTGTTCCCTCGATTGAACTCAAAATTATTTCAACAAAAATTAGAGAAGCAACATGATTTGATGCAGATTTAAACCCTTTTCCTAATGATAAAAAGGGACACACTTTCACTTTATTTGCTTTTGATAAAGCTGCCCTTTTTGAAAATGCAATGATTAAAGATTTTTTGGCTATTGAGCTTAATACTATGAATATGAGGATTAAAGACTGCGAGGTCATTGACTTCAAATTCTGTTTTTAAGGTCAAACTAAAGAGGAGTTTTTTTTTCAAACAATTCTAAAGGACAAATTTCATATGAGATAGAACTTGATCCTTTTCCAAAAATTAAATATTATATTGTCTAAAATCTCGAGAGACAATAGGAAATTTTATTTTTTGTTAATTAAACTACAAGATCCCACCAACATGCTTTAAGAAATGAAAATCATGTGTGGCACATAGTTATGAATGGCGAGCGCCGTACTCGCCTATGGTGGTTATGGCACTGTGGGCTGTGGCGAGGCTGTAACGCCTGGATTAGGCTGTGCATGGCGATGTCCTTGAGGCGATGTACATACATACATACATACATACATACATATATATATGTATATATATATATGTATATATATCTTTCTATACATATAATTGTGAAACCTAGTTAGGTACCCTTTATATTTGTGCACCTCTTCCATCTATATATATATATTGTTTAAGTCTAAACTTTTAGTCTTAACTTTGTATCAAACAGAATTATCAAATTAAAACATGAGTTATTGGTAAAAGTTCAAACAAAAAACAAAAAAAAGCAATAAGAAAAGTAGATAACAAAAAAAGTAGAAAATAGCGAAAATAAAGACAATAAATTATATCTATAAGAAATTAAGAATATAAAGACAATAAAGAAACAATAACCATTAAAAAAAACAATAAGAAAAGTAGAAAACAAAAAAAAGTCTGTGCGAAGTGGACTTTACTTGGGCCGGCTCTGAGTCTGCGAAGATGTGCGCTGTTGGGAATCGGGAGAGAGAGAGGAGAGGCTGCGCCGGCTGAGGAGAACTTGAGGAGGGCAGGAGGCTGCGACAGCTGGGGAGTAAATCGATTGACGGCGAGAGGGCAGAGGCAGAGGCAGTTGAATCGATGAAGGGTTTCGATCGAGATATAGGTCAGCGCGTTTTTTAAAAAAAAGTCAAGGTTTTTAATTAAAAAACCCTTGACCTGCGTCTGGCGTAGATGGCGAACGCCTTTCGACTCAGAGTTTGGCGTCCATGGCGACAGCCATTGGCGAGAATGGCGTAAAACGCCTCACCAGGTCTGAACATGGCGTCACATGGTCACCACACAGCCATAGGCGGCTTAGCCGAGAATGGCGAGCGCCATTCACAACTATGCTATCACTTAAATCATTAGATTACATATAAAGGGCTAGTTCCCCATTCGTAAAATTGACGGTTTCTACCCCTCTAATCCTCCCTCTAGTAACCCCCCAACCCCCACCCCCTTCAAAGTCAAAATTAACTTGGGGTTGCAATTGAAGGGGGTGGGGGTGTGTTCGGGTCAGGGCAGGGTGAGAGGGTTTACTCGGTCAGAGGAGGTAGGAATCGACAATTTTATGAACGGGGAACTGGCTGGGTCATTCCATGACTTGATTCCCAATGTCATGGGAACCAACCGAGTTAGGGGGTTAGAGAGTGTAATTTAGTATTTCCATCATCACCTTAATCTCAACTTTGTTTTGAATGTGGCTTTAGTGTCATACGAGGAAGTATTGACTATTGTGCATAGGTTTTGTTCATCTTTTATTTTTTAAATGTGCTTTTTATTGTTGTTTTCATAAGGGAAGCAAATAACTTTCACACACTTTGGGTTGACAACTAACTTAGCACATCTCCTTCGAGGTATGTGAAATGTTTGAATACCATTTTTTTGTTCTTCCTGAATTTAAATAAGCTTTATCATGCTATGAATTCAGCATCATGTCGTGCTATTAGGGTTTAACAATCATGTTCTTTAGTAGGCAACTTTTTTTAGTTGTTAATCTCTTTTTTTATTCTTTTTTTGATAATTGTTGTGCTAATCTTTTGATCCCTAATTTCGAGCTGTTAGACACTGATGAACTTTTTTTCAATTCTACAATTTAAGCTCATCACTTTGAGCAATATTATGTCTTATTCCATGTTAGACTTTGTTGTGTTTGCGATGTATTACTTTGACAAAGTACTTTTTTAATGGTTTTGGATTATTTATGTTATATATTATGCTTTATCTTTAGTTTTAGATTATTTTGTGGATTTTTTTCAATTTAAAAATTGAGGCTTACGCCTCAATACGCCTCGAGGCTTACGCAATACGCCATGAACAAAAAACGCTTCGAAACCGCAATACGCAATTTCGAACATTGCAACAAACTGATTTTTATAATTTCTTTTTGAGTCAATTCTACTTCATGCTCTGTTATTTAGTAAAACCATTATGATTTCTGCAGGCTGTTTGACATCTTCTTGGCAGGGGAATGAAGATCTCATTATAGTTCATGATCCTCTAGAATATGGAAACTGTCGATCATCTCAAATTGGGAGTAAAAAAGAGCTCTTTATAGCAAAACATTTAAATTGTGTCATGTTATGTGCATTCCTATCACCATTAGTATTCTTACAATAATAATGACGTGCGACTGAAAATACATGTGCGTATCTGCAGATACCAAAGTATGGAATATTCGAGAATGTGAACTCACTGAAGGATCTAGCAAAAATGCCACATTGGACACCTGAGAGACCCTTGAGAGTAGCTACGGGTTTCACATATGCATGGTGTACTGCAATGTGACATATTCATCTTCTTTTTCCCACATGCAGAGTATATGTTATTGTGGTCACAATTATTATGTTTAAGTTTGATGATATTTTTCCCTTAACATCCTTCATTTTTTTCATAGATGGGGCACTGAAGGCTACTCTAGCGGTAAGACCAAATCTACCTATTTTAAACAGATTCAGTTTTCTCAAGTCCCGTCTTATTGAGATTGACTGTTAGTTTTCTTAAGTCCAGTCTCATTAAGATTGACTGTTTGTATTGTACTACGTATATAAATGAAATACTTCTTCTCTTT